ATGTCGTAAAGTTCACAGTACTGTTCACGGGTAAGGCCGCTTGCGCGCCATGCGGCAACGTGATGTTTTTTCTGATCAAGCGTCCATCGCATCCTGGGCATTGTTTACTCTCCACAGAAAGAAGTTATACGAATACCGGAATGCTAATGGCGTGAAAATTTCTGTGAAGATGAGGTCCCCGGAACATTACCTTCTTCCTGCCATGCAGTGCTATATTCAGCATCCTGCACTCCATTCGGAGTGCAGTTCTTTATGACATACTAGTTTCGCTGAGTACCTCAAATAGCCATTGTAATAAGCGCCTCACAACATTAGCTTACAAGCTAATTACAGGTAAGTTAAATTAATTCAGATAATCGCAGGTACACAGGACACTTCATTTAGGGCCCTGTGGGAATTTCTGCGACAGTACACAGTAACAAAATCTGGTTCATGGGATTGTACGCCGAAATTTCAGAAAATACCGTCACAAAAGCTGGTAACCAGTAAATTTGCATGACGTTGAATATATAACGGGTTATGTGACGAGTTTCGGTGTCGAAATCGTTACTTCAGTGACGGTCACTCAATCGGTCGTTTACAACTCCGTAAAAACTGGTCACGGAAAAATCCAGGTTTCCGGCCAGGAAACCCCAACATAATGGGATTCACATTATTGTTTATAATCCGAACCGCCCCAATAAGTTACGTCTGATTCATTTTCCCTGAAAACACGCCTCATTTCCGGAGGCGTGTTTTACCCGACAGATTCCAGATTTGTATCACATTGCTGCACGATAAATTGCAACTATCTCTTCATGTGTCGCCTGTATCGGGTTCGTCAGCCCACAGGCATCTTTCAGCGCATTTCTGGCCAGTTCCGGTATATCTTCATCTTTCACATTCAGGTCGCGTAGCCCTGCCGGAATATTAACTTTCTTCGCCAATTCACGGATGGCATTAATACAGACTTCAGCACCTTCCTCGTCATTTTTACCCGTCACGTTCTCCCCCATTGCAGCAGCGCAGTCACGCAAACGTGCAGCTGCAACTTTACTGTTAAATGCCTGAACATACGGCAGCAGAACGGCATTACATACACCGTGCGGCAGATTGTAGAAACCACCCAGTTGATGCGCCATCGCATGAACATAACCCAGAGATGCGTTATTGAACGCCATTCCTGCGAGAAACTGAGCATAAGCCATCGCCTCACGCGCTTTTTCATTGTTGCCATCCTCAACGACCAATGGCAAATATTCCGCAATCATGGTCACGGCTTTCAGTGCACAAGCGTCGGTGATCGGTGTGGCAGCAGTAGATACATACGCTTCAATAGCATGAGTTAAGGCATCCATACCGGTAGCCGCAGTCAACGGCTTCGGCATACCGAGCATTAACGAGGGGTCATTGACAGAAAGCAGCGGAGTCACATGTTTATCCACTATCGCCATTTTGATGTGACGCACTTCGTCAGTGATGATGCAGAAACGAGTCATTTCTGACGCCGTACCCGCCGTAGTATTGATGGCGATCATCGGCAACTGCGGTTTTGCAGAACGGTCAACACCTTCGTAATCACGAATATCGCCCCCATTGGTGGCTACCAGCGCAATACCTTTTGCACAGTCATGCGGAGAACCACCACCTAATGAAATAACACTATCACAATTATATTCTTTCAGTAGTTTCAGACCTGCAGCAACATTTTCTGTGGTTGGATTAGGCTGGACGCCATCATAAATAACGCTAAAAACACTGTGTTCTTCCAGTGCTTTTTGCACATTCCCCGCCATACCTGACTTCGTTAACCAGCGATCAGTAACAATCAGGCTTCGACGGAAACCATACCCCGCCATCATTCTGGTTGCTGTCGATAACGATCCCACCCCCAGCATATTTACAGAAGGGATAAAAAATGTTGACACACTCATTGAGTTACTCCGAATTTCTGTATACATATTTCAAGCCAGAATAAACCGTAATGTCATGTGTTACGGGTATGACTCATCATTTATAGCGATAAATACAAGAATGTCTATTCTGTAGGTTCCACCTTCCCCTGATT